CAAACTTAGCGGATTATATATAGTAGGATAGTTAAGGAATGAGTGAAAATCAAAATTAAATCTTTAGGACAAGGCTTCGACCCTTCAGCTGCATAAGGATAGTTAAGGAATGAGTGAAAATCAAAATTAAATCTTTAAGGACAAGGCTTCGACCCTTCAGCTGCATAACGTATACTCCGACAACCTGATATCTCTTTTCCGTACCCCCTGTCTAGCTGCAGCTGACACACGCATCAGTTTTTGCAACAGCTTTCTAAGTTACAAGAAAAAACTACAAAACTACCACATGAAATGAAACAAAATGTTCATCAGTATTTCTGTCACAAGAAGGGTGACGGCCTTTTTCTACAAGCCCAAGGGTGACGGACAACATACCCGTAGGTCTCCCCCACACTTTTGCTTTTGTTCACAAAAAATCAAATTATACCTGCGAGCGCACCTTTGCGTTGCCTTTCATGTTACCGTTTTCAGGGGTCAGACCATGACAGTCAATCATTTTGCGTACCTCGTGTGGCCTGACCATACGGCTCCATTTAGTCCTGCACCGATGGTCGGGTGCTTGAAGCTGTGCCGCCAGTTGGCATCTGGTCAGCCAATTACTGTACATTGTTCAGCGGGCATTGGAAGGTCAGCCACTTTTGTAGGTAAGCGACCTTTCTTTCTAAAACCTTCTCGGGAAGAGCTAGAGTGAATGGGTGGTGAGGTGAGGGTTGAACCTGTTCTCGCATAGGTAACCCTCTATATGAATTCGAGTGTCCTTGTCATCGTTTGAAGTAGTCTATGTGGATAGTGCTAGCAATAATCAACAGAGTGAATAATGACTTGGATACATAGCGTTTTCAACCAGAAAATAATGTCCCTAATTTTGAGTAAGTCATTGAGACACACACACACAATGTCACCACATTGCTCCAAGTGCCATATCAAATTTTTCTCTCGTCGAAGTGGAGCCACGTTTAGTGCCTTCCAGTACCTTCTGATCTCAACTGCTCTCTAGCCAAACGCTTACTTTGGGGTAGGGAAAGGCTCTCAAACTCGAGCAGCATCCGAAATGTACAAGGCAAAGAAAAGAAAGAGAAGGAGGAGGAAAAATATAAAGAAAACTCATAAAAGCGCAAGCTTGGATGCACAATCTTCGCTTTAATCAGACGACAGTGACGAAATTCTCATATACGATTCATGACATCTCCTTATAAACAGCCATTTTTACAGCAATCGATTACGCATGGCAGAAAATTCGCGAGAACGGCGATGTGCTGATGATTGATATTTTGAAGGAAGTACGACAACAGCGATTCCATGCCATTCAGTCACCCATCCAATATATATTTTTGCACATGTGTCTTCTTGAAATGGCCAGCGAGGTAAGAGCTCTTGAAAGCTCCTCATCTTTGCAGATGATTCATTTCATAAGTGAGAATACAAGCGAATCTGTTTTCGGTTACCTATGACGAAAGCTGCTCCATGTTACTAGTCAGCTAGCCTTTATACTTTGCGGCACCATACGCCAACGTACGCTAGCGTATTCCTAGAACATTCTAGCGTTACGCTAGCGTAGCGAGGGCAAGGACAGCATAGGCGACCTGGAATTTTTAGGTATATGTATCCTTACATTCTATAAACCACTAACTCTGTGTGTCGGTTTGTCGGTATGTATGTATGTATGTCTGTCCGTCCGCAAAATGCTTCACGGGTTCAAACACGTCAGTGTAGGAGAGTATACGACCGCTAGCCGGTGGCGAAACCAGTTGGTGCAGATGTATCAATCCAATGTTTTGATTGTGATAACACCCTGCACTATAAGAGAACCATGTAGTGCACTCCAAACCATTGCACGAGCTGCTCGCGTGGCAGGTGGACGTGAGCACGTGCAGCGGCCGGGATGGGGAGTGGGTGGGGCAAGTGGGAGTGGGGAGGGTATGTGGGTGGGTGGGATTAGTGAGGGAGAGTACGGGAGGGGAAGCATAGAGTGCGTTTAGTAGAAACTCATCACAAGTGTGGTAATAAAAGCGCCAATGAAAGCGATAAGGTGAATAGAGGAAGGATCAACCGCTAGCAGAGTCGCGAATAAAATCCATGTTTTGGTATCACTTTGAGGCAATGTGTGATTGTTTACAACCTCACTATATAAAAGAATCATGTAGTGCACTCGTATGAACATATTGGTCAAAGATTGTTGACTATCTGTATAAAAGAAAAGCCGGTGAGGAGAAAGATAAGCGCGGCGGAGCCGGGCCCGCTCAGCAAATCCATTCTTTATCTCAGAAGAAGGCGTGCAGGCATCAGCCGGCAAAGCCGGCTGGTGTATACGTTTGTCATATGTAATGTATAGGGTTCGGGTTTACATAGGGTATGCGTTTTCTCTAAGGTTTGGCGATCTAGGCTTCTGCCCCTTGACCACGCCCACTTGCTTTTTGCGGAATTTTGATATTTTTTCAAAATTTTTGCATTTTTGGACTGCTACGTGAAGCCCCGCCCACTGTGAGAGGCTCCGCCCACTTTGAAGAAGCCCCGCCCACTTTTCAAAAATGGTGCAGGTCGGCAGTATAGGGTCTCGGCTGGCATGCTAGGGTATTGCTGATCATTCGGAACAAACTTTGCCTGATTTTCTTGTTCCGAGTGACGAACGAGACCCTAGCATGCAAGCCAAGACCCTATACTGCCGATTGCACCATTTGAAAAGTGGGCGGGGCTTCTTCAAAGTGGGCGGAGCCTCTCACAGTGGGCGGGGCTTCACGTAGCAGACCAAAAATGCAAAAATTTTGAAAAAATATCAAAATTCCGCAAAAAGCAAGTGGGCGTGGTCAAGGGCGGAGCCTAGATCGCCAAACCCTTCAGAGAAAACCCAATCGCTATGCGAACCTAAACCCTATTTACATATGACATCTTCTTCTTCTTCTTTTCCTTCTTCAGGGTCCCGCTCGATGGCAAGGTCCGCTCTTTTGATATAACTACGCCCATTTCCCGGTTGATTGTCTGATCGCTGATCGGGGTGAATGCCAGTCGTTTTCAAGTCGGTATGCAGCGTGTCGAGCCAGCGCTGTTTGGGACGCCCCTTTGGCCGCTTTCCTGGTACCTCGAGTTCGAGAGCAGTTTTACGAACGGTGTCAGCCTTCGTCGAGAGCATTTTTACGAACGGTGTCAGCCTTCGCGCGAAGTACGTGCCCGTACCATCGAAGGCGCGTTTCACGCAATTTCTCTGCTATGGGGGCTACACCATACTTCTTGCGCACGACATCGTTACAGATGCGGTCCGATCGCGTGACGCCCGCCGTCCAGCGCAACATCTTCATCTCCATCACACCAAGGCGAGCCTCAACTTCTTTGGTCGCGGGCCAGCACTCGGCACCATATAACGCGACGATAGATCTTTGACTTGAACGCTCTGGCATTTTCTTGTCGCAAAGGATCCCAGACATGGATCGCCATTTAGACCACGCCGCACTCGTGCGCTCACTTCCGAGTTCAGACTGCCATCGGACGCAAGTGCTGATCCGAGATACTTGAATGTTTCCGTGCGCTTGAGCACCGTGTCATCGATCTTAATGGAGCCCGGCTCATTTGGGTCGGTTGTCAGGTACTCGGTCTTGTTGACGTTCAACCTGAGTCCAAACTTCGCCAGACGCTCAAAACTTCGCCAGACGCTCAACCCAAGCTTGCACCTGCTGTTCCAGTGCGCTCTTATCTTCACAAGCAAGCATCACATCATCAGCGTAAAGCAGGGTCCAAGGCACTTCCTTCTGAAGATCTCGTGAGATGGCATCCATGACGGCAACGAAAAGAAGTGGGGAGAGCGCAGAGCCTTGATGTACCCCGACGGTGATGGGGAACTCCATTGAGACACCCGCTGGTGAGCGAACTTGGCTCCCTGGGCATGAGTAAAGGATGCGCACCCACTCAATTAGCTCTTCGGGCACGCCGTGCCACTCAACAATATAACATCATGCAGGCACACGATCGAATGCCTTCCAGGTCTAAGGAAGCTACAACGGGCTTTCGCTTCTCACGGTGTCGCTCCAGCAATAGGCGAGCGGCATGACGATGGTACAACCCGCCACGAAGGCGCACTGATTGGTGGAAAGCTGGACGATATCACGAACGCGGGCGTCAACAATTCGCTCAAGATTTTCATAGTGTGCGAGAGAAGGCGAATTGGACGGTAGTTCGAGCAATCTGCCGGGCTGCCCTTCTTCCAAATCGGGATCGTCACGCTCTGCTGCCAGTCCTTGGGCACCTTCTTCTCTTCGACGATCTGGTTGAAGAGTTTCGTCAACCAACCCGCAGAAAACCAGCGTTGTGACTTCCACAAATCAGCTGCGATGTCGTCGGGGCCTGTTGCTTTGCCGGCCTTCATCTTCCTCAGAGCAGCTTCTGTTTCCTGTACGGTGATCTTCTGAACGGGACCATATGTTGGTGCGGTACAGGGTATAGCGGGCAAATTCCACCGTTGAGATGCCCTCGAAGTATTCACGCCATCGTTGCAATACCCTTTTTCGGTCCATCAGAAGGTGGCCATTCTCATCACTTATGCCAAAAAACTTCTCAATGTCTTCGGTTTGGCGATGACGAGATTTGGCAAGTCCGTACAGGTACCGCTCACCGTCGCGCGTCTCCAGCTTCTTGCTGATATCATCGAAGTGAGCGGCCTTCACAGCAGCCACGGCCGTCTTTGCCGCCTTCCTCGCTTCCCGATACTGCCGCCAGTTGTCAGCCGACTTGTGCTCGAGAAACGCGTGATAGAGCCTCTTCTTTTCTCGAACCTTCGCTTTGACGTCGTCCGTCCAGAGCCATGCCTCTTTGTCAATCCTCCGCCGTCCAGGCTTCGTTGTGCCGAGTTCGGAGCGGGCGGCCTGGATTATAGAATTAACGGCTTCGTTCCAGGTCTCCTGAACAGTTGTGACTTCAGGTAGTCGAATACGAGAAATCACAGCTGCCTCCCGCTCTTTCAGTCGCCACCACTTTATTCTTTCAGGACCGCATCGTTCTGCCTGTCTCGGTCTGGGAGCTACAAGTCTGAGCGTGCAGATCAGTGGGCGGTGCTGCGTGGCAACCGTTTCATACGGTACTACCTTAGCGTCTGTCACGAGTCCTTGGTCGCCATGCCTGATGAGTACAAGTCTATTTGTGTCTTGGTACTCCCGCTGTAGAACGTGATGAGATGGGAGTCACGTTTACGAAACCTTGTGTTCAGAATGACGAGATTATGCGACTCTGCATACTCAAGGACTCGCTCACCATCGGCGTTCCGTGAACCGTAGCCGAATCCGCCATGACAAGCATAGCCGTCTTTTGCAGCGCCCACGTGCCCGTTTAGATCGCCGGCTACAATGATACCGTCTTTTGGTGGCACTTCAGCCGTCTTCTCGTCCAGCAGAGCCCAGAACTCGTCCTTGGACTGCTCAGAGCATCCAGTTTGTGGGGCATATGCAGAGAAGAAGTGGTACAGTCGTTGTTCAATAGCGACAACAATCTTCATTAAACGGTCGTCGAAACGAACTACGCTCACAATCGAATCGCGAAATCGCTGAGACACGATCACGGCCACACCACTTGTAGTTTTCGGCCCGCCACAAAGAACGGCTTTGAAGCCGCGGCCTAACTCTTTCGACTTGCAACCAGCCCATCTCGTCTCTTGCACGGCACAGAGGTCGATCTTTCTACGCTCTAGGGCTTCTGCTAACTCATACGAGCGTCCAGTCAGCGTCCCTACATTCAGCGTCGCAATACGAGCCTTTAACACATCTTTCGGACTAGCCTGGTTGCCCCCCGATGCCGTCCTTGCAACGAGGACCCTCGCATATTTTTCACACTCGTCGGGCCTTGCGAGTGCGCGTCGGCTCCCGCGGACGCCGTAGCATTATCTCGAAATTCATAAGGCATAGTTGAACATAATGATGTGACATGGGGTGTTCGTAAGCCGGCCCGTCACGAAGGCCTGTCGCCTGCTGTCGGTTCGTCCGTGTTCTGCTCAGCCCGCAAAAGCGAGCAGGTCCCGGTGGCACCACTTGGAGGAACGGACGTCACTAAACATACATACACATATATACCTGAAAACGCTAGGTCGCCTAAGCTTTCCTTGCTCTCGCTACGCTAGCATACGCCAGCGTAACGCTAGAGTATTCTAGCGTTACGCTAGCGTACGCTGGTGACGCTAGATCGATATCCATCCTTCCCTTGCCACTGCCGCTGCCGAACACTGGAGACGCTAGCGCACGCTGGCGTACGCTGCTGCAAAGTATAAACATACAAGCACCATAGCAACCATAACAACATAACAGTACAAGCAGCCTTACAGTGCAGTCTCTATCTCAGAGCAAGGAGTGGGCGCATTCACCAGGGAGCGAGCTAAGGGATTTCGCACTTAGGGCTTAGGTGAACTCTACCTTCGCACTGCACATATGTTGCCACCTTCAGCGACCTCACTGTCCATCATCAAAACCTACAGTTTATATCACTGCAGTCGGGTCGCAATCAGTCGGTATCCGCTTGCAGTGCTCCCACCACTGGCTCTTTCCTTCCTAAGTCAATCACTCGTCGATCACTATCGGTAGAGCAAGGCAGCCGAAGGCAGGCTCATGCCGCTGCTCTCGAAGCCTCCAACTTTGTGATGCTATAAACTACATATATACGTCGCCATGTTGGACCCCTGTTGTTATGGCGCGTGTTCAGATGATATTTGGCAGCTATAGCGGGGAGTTGTCACTAGTGATGGGCAGTCCCCGGAGGGAAGTTTCGGGAGAATTGAAACTAAGATCGCAAGGAGTAAAACTCGCTTGCGTGAGCGAGAACAGTGATTGCTATCGATGTCAGATTTGTTTATAGGAAAACTTGTTGCCACGTAAAAAATACGCTCCATATCTTGAAGCCTACGTTTCGATGCTAAAAAAGTACAACAAGAAGGTGCAAGCAGCTGAAGCGAGGGCCGAAGCAAAGGAATCTGCTTAAAAGTCCGTTTGATAAGAAAGAGCTCTTCAAAAAACTGATCAAATGATTATCTTTCATCAATGACACAAACTCATTTCAAGCTTTTGATATACATTCGAGACGTGTTTCACTTGTGTAAGAATAAACTTTATAAAATATGCTGAGTTTGACGCTTTCTTCCTGAGTCGGCTTTGCCTAATTTGCTATCATTTGATGCATTCTTAGATCGCTAGATCATTCACTATTCAAACCTCTGCAGAATCCACCCCAAAGATGTGCGCCAGCGTTTTGAAGATGTCTCACGCACTCACGTAGAGAAATGAACTTATCTATCACGAAATTCCGAAACTCCAGCTGTGACTGACTCGAGCCTTTCAGGGAACGCAGTGTCACATCTAGCAAGGGAAGGATGGTAGGTCGAAGTGGCCATTTGAAATGAAATGTATACCGGCTGAAAGGTCTTCGGACGGGAATTACGAAACCGTCTTCCATATCTGCTGCGGACCTCCCAGAAAGAAGTTACGGAGCTTTTAGTGGGAAAATACACTACGTATTGGCGGCGTAAGGCTGACACGATCGTGGCAGCATGGCCGAGTGGGTACGTCGTAGGGCTCACGGATGCGTGGTCGAGGGTTTGGATCCTTGATGCGTGTGCTCTTTTGCATTTTTTCGAAAGTGGTCCCTGTGCACTTCAAAGCTATTTTGCATAACACTTGTCCGTGATAATGTCGTGACGTAATGATTCTGAACTGATGGAGCCACTGCGAACCATTCCATAGAGATCACCTTCTGGGCACATTCGCCAATTTGGCGCCCACTTCTTTTTTCACCAAAGTCGATGAAAACTTGCATATGGGGGTTAATTGAGGTCCTGATTACGAATCCAGCATTTATTTTTGGCGCTGGCGCCATTTGGTGCCATTACGCGCCAATTCGGCGCTATATTGGCGCATGATGACGCCAGCGCTTGAAACCAGTGTGATATTCGTAATCAGGACCTCAATTGACCCCCATATGCAAGTTTTCATCAACTTTGGTGAAAAAAGTGGTGGGCGCCAAATTGGCGCCAAATGACGCCAGCGCTCGAAACGGATGTTATATTCGTGATCAGCGCATTGAATTACATCTATAGGCAACGTTTCAGCGAAAAAATTTTTTGAGTTATTTGGGGTAGGGTAGGGGTAGTTCAATAGTGCCCACTTTCTGGCTGTTGTCTTCTTCTTTGATTTGAAAAGCATACACAACAAAAGTGCATTCCAAAAGAAGATTTTGCTTTCAAATGACTTTATTCTCCAAACGACATGACTGGAAAACGAATCCGAACGCACGTTGTGCAGAAGATGAGTATAGTGGGAAAATGCTTCCATATGAAGTGGCGTTGATGTGGCAATCATGCTGCTGGAGATCGCGATGGGCAAGAGCTTCATTCACCACTCACATAATGTTGAATTATGTCTATCTCAAAGTGTTTTCGTACCTGCTGGAAGTTTTCGGCTCGTATGACAATCTTTTCAGCCGGAGGTGATCTCCATGAAATCGTTCGCAATGGCTCCATCAGTTCAGAATCATTACGTCACGACATTATCAGGACAAGTGTTATGCAAAATAGCTTTGAAGTGCACAGGGACCACTTTCGAAAAAATGCAAAAGAGCACACGCATCAAGGATCCAAACCCTCGACGCATCCGTGAGCCCTACGACGTACCCACTCGGCCATGCTGCCACGATCGTGTCAGCCTTACGCCGCCAATACGTAGTGTATTTTCCCACTACAAAGCTCCGTAACTTCTTTCTGGGAGGTCCGCAGCAGATATGGAAGACGGTTTCGTAATTCCCGTCCGAAGACCTTTCAGCCGGTATACATTTCATTTCAAATGGCCACTTCGACCTACCATCCTTCCCTTGTAAGAGCTGTTTGTGCACTTCGGCCAAATGCGCAAATTCTGCTCATGAATGACGTATGCTTTTCGTATGTTTGATGCCTGAGGTTTTTCTTATGTTTAAGTTTAAGGTCTCTTATGAGCAAATCGTTATTACATCCTGTCACCCACCAATGGGAGGAGGGGGAAACTCACCCGTTCCGCGTATGCGGCGCGGTTCCTTCACGGCGCCGCGGCGGTGGGCGGCGCGAAGGGACACGGCCTGCGCCTCCGCCACTATGCTCCAATCACAACCAATCGCTGGCAATTTGCCAGAATCGTCCTCGCCCTACTGTTTGCGTAAGTACGTAAGTCGTTTTCGCAATCGACGGGACTATTTCGCCATAAACTAGTGTATTTCACCCTACTATTCGTCTTCACTGCATGCTGTATTCAGCGCCAGTACTAACTCGCGCATGAGCGTCCACCATTACTATTAATTCGGTGAGTAACTTTTTATGTTTGTTGCTATGATGCGCTTTTCTATTATTTTCCCTAGATGATGTAACCCTTATGGTGATTTATTCACTCACTTACGATTCACTTCTAATTGCTGCATGATTCCTGCTGGTTTTTGGGAACCCTACTTACCAGCTGTAATTGCTCCTTATCTATTTTGTCATTGCCCTACTCAAAATCTTTCTACGGTATGTATGAGGAAGCGCCCATTAACCCGTTGCCTGGAGATATTACCCGGAGGGGACGAGGCAATTAGGGGGCACTGCCCAGAGATACTATGCAACCTGGGGGCATTGTCCAGGGGACACGTGCTCTCTCAAGGGTATGTTACGCCCATCCAAGATTGTATAAATGAGCTAGCAGTGCAACCTACTTTGCGCACTAATAATAGTATTCCTGGCATCTTTTCCATTCCTTACTGTGATCAGTGCCAGTGGCAGGCTGTGTTGTTCAGGAACTATAAACGATTCCTGGTGAATGCAGCCCACAGCTGGCGCGATCAAAGTCTTCACTGTTCTGACTGTGTTCCTTCTTGTTCTTAATTTTCTTGTTTTCTGCGACGTCAGAAAGTTTATTCGAATTGACTTCTAAGTATCACAGCAAAGATTTCCCATAAGATTGAGACTGTAAAAATTCAAATAGTTTTCTCGGAGACAAACTGTGACATTCGACGGCAGTACTTGATGATTGTTGACGTCAGGATGCACGGCCTCTCCATTACTCTTTCGAAACGTCGCATTTCTGCCGCTATTTTTAGTCGCCGGTCCCGGTCTCGTTTCCTTAGCCTTCTCTCCTCATCTGGCATCTGGAAGGAGAGGTTTTCGTTACCATAACAATACGCTATTGTGAAGCCGTTTAGTTGTGACTATAATTATTTTATTAGAACCTACTCGTTCCAATGCGCAGAGATCCGCGAATGCTCTCGTGTTCGCTGCTCGCACCCGCTTAAGAAGAGCATCCAGGTCCACGTTCTTCTTTTTAAGGACTCGGCGCAGTTTGCTGAACGGCTGCTTTTACTGCTCCTATAGCGCAACATTGTGTTGTTACCTGTGATATGCTTCCGCCAGGTTTGTAGTGCGGAGCTCGTTCATTCCCCATTTGCACCATAATTCCGCGTATGGCCCTCTTAACCAGGTACTGTGGAGATAAGCCAGAAACTGCACACATTTTTGATAAGCCTCGTGGGTCGAAGGGAAGGATGGACGATAAAGCCCAGGCACCCGTCGATGTAGATGCTTAGGCAAGAATGCTAGTCCCTTTATTGATCTCCACCACTTCAAAACTGCCCTGCTCCTTTGTGGGCCCTTCAAAAAGCGCTTCAAACCTAGGATTTCCCTCTTACGATTCCATGCTTGTGCCAGGTGAAATGCGCAGCCTTCAACGGTTATACCCAGAATTACAGCCTTCGCGGCGCGGATGACGGCCATCACAAAACCACAACCAACCGCAACATGGGCACCCCATCCTAGTGTGACTAAAACTTGTCTAATATGCTCAAATATGGTCTTGTACATGGCCTCCGTTTTGTTCTTCGTTAGAGCATGGAAAAGAGGGACCTGCAAATCCGTTCATGAGACAATTGTAGCTACTGAGCCTCGAATCTGAAAGTGTGTTACCTCCAAGCCGTTGTTGCATACACTGTGGATCGTGTACAGCTGGCTGTGATCCCCCAATTTCTCCGGCATTATCTTATGCACCCCATCTGCGACCGAAACGCAAAGGCCGTTGTGATAGGCTTTCTAGAAATCACATTTTACAGTGGGCGAGACTTTCCAAATAATTGAAACATACCTCGATTGTTTTTAGTGAGTAATACAATTGCAACTGTGGGGTTCTCAACTGCAAAAACTGAGTTCCATCTCTCAAGTGGGATAAAGACTGTGGGATGTTATCCCAAGTGATCCCCTTCACCTTGTGGTATGCCTGAGCCCTGTAAAAGTCTTTGGCCGATTACATGATTACAAAATACAACATGTCTGCAAAGTACTTCGCGATCGCGCTTCTTATCGAGTTTAGATTTCCTCGATGAAAGCTAAGCATCATTTCTTGGCGATCCTCCGCTCTCATCGTTCCGTCTGCCTCATATTCTTCCAACATATCCTCCAGAATTTCGGTTGTGGTCAACTTTCTATATCGAGGGTCCTTTCGAATTTCACTGCACTTCTGAAGTAAATACTTGCGAAGTGCGACAAAATATATGTCGAACTTCATATGCGCAGTATAGAGACCACCTGATGTGCTCTTCTTTCTACTTTATCTCCTAGAACGTTCACACTTACGCAGGCGTGAGAACGCCTGCAAGGATCCGACTGGAACTGGTCCCCGACAACCTGTATTTCGCAGTTCATTTTTGTATTTGTATCTAAGTTAGTATGCACACAGACCTCAATCTGGTTATGTAATTGTTCTTTCTTGCAGCCTCTACACACATAGACGTCGTAGGACTTGCACTTCTTGTGGAACATGTACACAAAGCATTGAGTCGAACCTGGAATTCTATAACGCAAAATTTCATGCTTTCCAATGTTACTTACCTCTCTCTCTCTCCGAGAAATCTCGAAGATGTTGAAGTGGAATGGAACTCGATGGTGACGACGATAGAAGTTGCCGGACGAAGCTACCCTGTAAAAAACGGGGCACGCCCGCACGAGTGGCTAGGGGCGTTGCCTGCCTAGATTACCGGAAATGGGAGGCCGCAGTGAAGCGGTCGCCACAGGTAGGAGGGAGGTTGAGGTTGTGCGCTGCGCTGTGATTTGCGTTTTGCCCTGGGAGGAGGTAATTTGTGGGTTTACCTGGGTACCTCCAGGACGTGAGCCCGTCTCCCCTCTGAGACGTGCAGCGAGCCCTGAAGAGGGCTATTTGGCGAATAAACGTAAACAGGTTGTTGAGACATTAGTCACACTTTGAAACAAAGCAGACAAGTATTTTGAGCTGAGAGCCAAAAGGCGCTCTCCGAATTGATGGCGCCAAAGTTCGAATGCTCATTGGTTGCTCAGATTTCGTACTGTTTCCTTGCATTTCAAACTCTTCTTGTATTCTCTGTGCTTCCGAAGGGCTGCGAGCGCGAATTTTTCTTCTGACACAACGCAACGCCGAACAGATTAGTCTGGTGCAGATGTAGGTAGGTAGGTCTGATTCGAGAGTTGAACAAACAACATCTAAGTTTCGAGAATGATCAGGTCGAGTTGAAGGGAGAAAGGGAAAAGGTACCAATACAAGCTCTTGGTAGTTCCAGTTGAAAGGTAGAAAGCTCAGCAATCATGAATTGTCCCTGAGCAATGCCACCTTGAGCTGGTTTACCTTTGAATGGGAAGAAAATGAAACAAAGTCAGGATGAAACTAACGTAATCTGCTAATTTCGGTGTTGTCCAGTCAGTGACCGGGAGGGTAAGCAATCGCCTGAACTGCCGAAAAAAAAAACTCCTAAAGTAACCGCTTCACAAAAGCGTTGTTTCTTCAAGCAAAGAGAGACTAGACCAAAACAAGTCACCTTGTTTTAATTGGGAGCAGCTGCTAATTAGTGAGCTCTAGCAGTAATATGAGTTATTAATAGAGTATACAAAAGGAAAGAAGACAGTGCGGAAAGCCGGTTGTTCCGGACGAGTGTAAACAGTGACAAAATAGCCCCTATTCGATTGCAAACGAAGCTTCTATGCAGTCGTTATTCAGTATGGACGACGTTTGGGCAATTTGCCAGCGACTGGTTGTGATTGGAGCGTAGTGGCGGAGGCGCAGGCCGCGGCCCGTCGCGCCGCCCTACTGCAGCGGGGCCGCGAAGGAACCGCGCCGCACACGCGCACGGGTGAAATTGTACACGGAGCCCCCACCAATAATGCTCTCGTCCCATTCCTTCATTCTTGCTGGAACCAACTTCATTCGTTGCTGTGGTTTGCGTTATGAGTTTGCTGACCCTCCCCACATTGGGACGCTTAAGTTTATTTTGAGTGACAGTGAGACCGACCTATAGTTGAGACTCTAACCTGCTAATTCAAAGCTAATTTTGATTTCGATTTCGAGTTCAATTTCCACGAAACTAACCGGGGCTTTTATGGACTGTCCGGGGCGTTGCGTAGCAATCTAAAATGTGGGAATTTGTGCGAAGGGCCATACCTTACAAAAAGACGCAAAAGTGGGTGTGTCTAAGGGACGGAGCTCAATGGTAGGAAGTGAATATGCTTCTACGAGAATTTCCTTGCGTGAATAGTAGAAGAAGTTTAACAACGTTGAAGAAGAGTCGATGTACACTCCTTCTCAGGAATGGTGCATATGCGAAGTAAAAAAGAGTCAAAGTCGCAGAAGCAGAACTTGTGAAACAAAACCTGAAAATCATGACCGTGGCTGTAAACGAGTGGTGGCTATCGGTATAGGGATTGCAGCCGTGTCTATTGTGGCAGGGTTAGCTAACCACTGATGAATTTGACTCAAATGTCGATTGCTCGTTCAAATGTCGAT